TAATCATAAATAGTTCACAGATAGCTATGCAACACAAAATATAGTTATACTTTATCAGAGTTCCCTTACAAAACTGCTCTGATACCATAAAATATAACAGCCCATTGTAAACTAGTATTGTTAACATTAATTATGATATTAAGCGCAATTACAATCACAGCAATTCATTTATAAAAAAGCGAGTAAACTTTTTCCGTTTATTACGCGAGCATTTAAAACAAATAAAATCGTAATAATTAAAAGCTGTGATCGTAAATGTAAACTCTTTGCGGAATACTTATTTAGAATACTTTTATAACTTATATTAGTTACTACAAGTCACTAAGGGGTTCCCATAAACCCACTTAGCTAATTTCTCAATTTTACGTTTTCTAACTATCCGAACATGGTTCGGTCTTTATTTTTCTGCGGACAAACTGCATTCTACAAGCCTCCCATCTTTTGATATGTTGTTCTAAACTCAATTAAATTTCTAGGAAGCTATCACATAAGTTATTTCGATCTCTTTTGCTCTGGATATCGTCGTTTGAAGTTGGACAAGCAAAGCTGCCAGCCAACCCCAAAATAGCTCCAAACATCCCTCACTCCACGAATTACTTCAGAAAATCAACTCAACCAATTGCTCTCAAATTTTTATACAAAAAAATAGACACCTCAATATTCAATTTTACATATCATACACTTAATTTGACTAAGAAACGAAGCGGAAATAAATTTCCCAAAACCGGTCCAGAACTGCCACAAGTACAGTGAGCAAATGGGCAGTCTGCCCTCTTTTCCTTCTCCAGACCGACTTTCAACCCAAAATTCTATCAATTTTACCACAAGATAGAGGACATCTCAAGCTTCAAAATGGCATATGGCACGTCCCTATCGGACCTCTGTGGAGGGAGATATGCTCTTCTGAAGTTCGCCTAAATTATGCCAATTCTACAGAAAATTCGCCAGAGTTTCCTTTGATTTTCCAAACTCCCCAAATTGCAAATGTGTTCTAAGACCTCTAATGTACCTAATAATCAAATTTGCAAACTCTCCAAATTCGCCAGTACACGACAATTCCATCAGAATACGAAAACCGTCAAAACCTCCCCTACACCCTTCTAGGTTCGGCCATACAAGTGCAAATTTGCATTTTATTTTTCTAAATTTTCTTTCTCATTTTATTAGGCATCCTAAGGTTGCCGAAAGGCCATATCAATTGTCGTTTTTCATTTTACGTCTTTTAATTGTCGTTTTGCTTAATATCTTACTCTAGGATCCTTTATGACTCTCAACACCATCAATTATTTTTCATTGATTCTCTAACCTTCCAACCACCACACAACCCATCTAAATACCATTTAACACCTGATACATCACCCAAGCCATACCAACAACTTCAAATCCCTAAAATTCCCTAAATGGCCGAATTGTCACCTATGCAATTCCAAAAGATTTTCATTCAATTTTAACCACTCCACACCTCATATAATCCCATTATCTCAACATACAATCATACAACAACTCACCAATCCAATCCTAACACATTTTCAAAACTCAAAGTCATGAGAATCTAAAATTTTTCTAAGTTAAAAATCCACATTTTTCACCAATAATTTTTATTGTATTTATGGCTAATACACATCATTCTAAGACACATTCATGTACAAATATTTTCCAATTGAGCTCTCTAAACACATTAATCACAAAATCCCCCTTTAGGGTTGATGGAATCAATCACAAGATTAAACCGTTAGAATGCAAGGAAACTCACCCCAAAGCTAGGCGCAAGGCTCCTCCTAAGCATACTCCACCATTGGAGCACCTAGAAGCTCCATGACTGCAAATCTCGCCAAGTGAGCCGCGCCCTTGAGGGAGGATATCTCAAAAACTAGTAGCTTTCAAGGCTTAGGAGTACCACCAATGGCTTTAGAAGGCAATTTCCAATGAATTTCAAGTCAAACTTCAAAGGATTTGGTTAGGTTTTGAGTGATTTAGCAAGGAAAAGAAAGCTTGGTGTGGTTGTCCATTGGGGGGGGGGGGTGTCCGCGGGCTTCAAGGGAGAGAGGAAGGGAAGTGGTGAGTGAATAGTGTCCTTATGACACATGTGTTAAGTAACTTAAGTGAGGTGGGCCCCACCACCACTTCACGCGATTTAAAACTAATCTGAATTTCGACTAAACGTCCGTAAATTCACAACTTATTTAGAAACTCTAATTTTTAACATTAATCATTGTCCTTTAATTATACTTGATCAGATGAATCCGGAGTTTTCCGGTCGTTCGGAGAAAATGCTGTTTTAAGCTGTTGCGCGCGCCGTTGGCACGCTTCCCCAAACTAACTTACTTCCATCAAATTTTAGCAAAAATCATATTTCCTAGTTCTATAGACCATTTATAACTCATATCTAAAACCTAGAGCTCAAAACTCAATCGACACGTTTTATGGTGCAATCGTACTGCAGTATTTTTACCCGGTAAAAACGCTATTCACTAATTTTTCTGAAACTTGCCTAAACACTCAATTTTTCGTTCTGAATCCATTTCTAGGGTTAATTTTACCATATGAGACCTTCTACTCAATTTTTATCTTCCTAGGGTTGCGTGTTGGCTAATTACCGTTTTGCCCTTTCTTTGTATTTTGGCCTAATTTTCAGTATTTTCACTAATCCTTCTCTTTAATTCTCATTTAATATATTAAGAGTAAAGTTCCATTTGGGTCCCTAACAAAAAATACGGTTCCCACTTTAGTCCCTTACAAAAATAAATTAGTCAATTGGTTCCTAACAAATTCAAAGTAGACCCATTTTAGTCCTTTTGAGGGACTAATATGGGTCTTTTTTGAATTTGTGAGGGACCATGATTTCAACTAAATAGGTCCATTTTGAATTTGTTAGGGACCAACTGACTAATTTTTTTTTGTAAGGGACTAAATTGGGGACCGTTTTTTTTGTTAGGGACCAAAAAGGGTATTTATTCATATATTAATATTTAAACTTAGAAATGCGAGGTGTTATAATGATCATGTTATTCTACACTACTCATATACATTTCCTACCATCACCATCAACGGGTATGGTGGAACACACAAAGGGATCAAGCTCTAGTACCAAGAGGTTACCTTAATAAGTGTCTCCACTTAGCTCCACAGCCGTATACTTCTCTGAGCTCTATATACAGTAGAAATGCCTAAACAGAGGACATTGCCAATTACTTAAAATTCATAAGAATACATGCAAGTTACCAACTATATAAGCATGATTCCAATCATTTACCTCACTCCCACTTGGTCCAGGACCAAGGGCAATCCACCGACTCATGGTTCGGAGTTCAAATCAACGTACGACAACCTACAACAACCATGTACGAATCATCAGTACACGACAATTCTATCAGAACACGAAAAATGTCAAAAACCTCCCCTACACCCTTGTAGGTTCGGCCTTTGAAGGCTTATTTTACAAAAAAAATTTCTAAATTTTCTTTTTCATTTTATTAAGCATCCTTAGGTTACCAAAAGGCCATACCAAGTGTCGTTTTTCATTTTACGTCTTTTAAACGTCGTTTTGCTTAATATCTTACTCTAGGATCCTTTATGACTCTCAACACCATCAATTATCTTTCATTGATTCTCTAACCTTCCAACCACCACACAACCCATCTAAATACCATTTAACACATGATAAGCAATACCAACAACATCAAATCCCTAAAATTCCCTAAATGGCCAAATTGTCACTTATGCAATTCCAAAGGATTTTCATTCAATTTTAACCACTCCACACCTCATATAATCCCATTATCTCAACATACAATCATGCAACAACTCACCAATCCAATCCTAACATATTTTCAAAACTCAAAGTCATGACAATCTAAAATTTTCTAAGTTAAAAATTCATAATTTTCATCATTAATTTTCATTGCATTTCTAGCTCTAACACATCATTCTAAGACATTATATTCTAATACACATTTTCCAATTGAGCTCTCTAACATCACAAATCATCAATTTCCCCTTTAGGGTTCATAAACTCAATCCAAAGATTCAACCGTTAAAATGGTGAAGAAACTTACCCAAATGCTAGGCACAAGGCTCCTCCTAAACATACTCCACCATTGGAGCATCTAGAACCTCCTTGAACACAAATCTTGCAATGTGAGTCGCGGCCTAAGGGAGGGTTTTTATCAAAATTCGATGGTTTTCAAGGCTCAAGAGTACTACCAATGAATTTAGAAGGTGATTTCCATTGAATTTCAACACAAAAATCAATGGATTTGGTTAGGATTTGGTGGAGTTAGAGAGAAAGAAAGAAAAAAGTGGTGTTTCCATGGGGGAGGGGGGGTTTGGCCGCGGGTTTCAATGGGAGGGGGAGAGAGAATGATGATGAATAGTGACATGGTGTCACATGTGTCAAGTTACTCAAGTGAGGTGGGCCCCACCACCACCTCACGCGATTTCAAATTCATTTGAATTTCTCTCCGATTTCACTAAACGTCCATAAATTCACAACCTATTTAGAAACTCTAATTTTTAACATTAACCATTGTCCTTTAATCACCTTTGATCAGATGAATCCAGAGTTTTCCGATCGTTCGGAGAAAATGCGGTTTTAAGCTGTTGCGCGCGCCGTTGGCACGTTTCCCCAAACTAACTTACTTCAATCAAATTTTATCAGAAATCATATTTCCTAGTTCTATAGGCCATTTATAACTCATATTTAAAACCTAGAGCTCAAAACTCAATCAGCACGTTTTACGGTGCAATCGTACCGCGGTATATTTTCCCGGTATAAACATTATTCACTGATTTTTCTGAAACTTGCCTATCCCCTCAATTTTTCGTTCTGAATCCATTTCCAGTGTTCTTTTTATCATCTGAGACCTTCTACTAAATTTCCTTCCTAGGGTTGTGTGCGTGGCTAATTTACCGTTTTGTCCTTTCTTTGTATTTTGGCCTTATATTCAGGATTTTCACTAATCCTTCTCTTTAATTCTCATTTAATATCTTAATATTTAAACTCAGGAATGCGAGGTGTTATATGTAGCCACCCTATGGTTCACTCCATACTTCGCAAGCAAACTATCAAACTGCTTATTGCAAAAATGTGTCCCCCCATCACTGATAATGGCTCTAGGAACACCAAACCGAGTGAAGATGTTCTTCCTCAGAAAGTTCACCACAACTTTAGCATCATTGGTGGGAAGAGCAACAACCTCAATCCACTTAGACACATAATCTACAGCCACCAAGATATATTGGTTGGAATAAGATGAGGGAAATGGCCCCATAAAATCTATTCCCCACACATTGAAAAGTTCTATATCCAATATGCTATTCAGAGGCATTTCATCCTTGCGGGAAATATTTCCAGCTCTTTGACACTTGTCACACCTCTCAACATAATCCCTAACATCTTTAAATAATGTAGGCCAATAATAACCACTCTATAAAACTTTTTGAGCAGTTCTATTACCTCCAAAGTATCCTCCGTAGTCTGATGCATGGCAATGTCACAGGATCTCATGCACTTCAAACTCTGGCACACACCTCTGTATGATTCCATCAGCACATTGGAAATACAAGTAAGGATCATCCCAGTGAAATCTCCTTGCATCCCGCAGAAACTTTTTATGTTGTTGCCGAGTAAGGTTAGGAGGCAACTCTTTTATCACCTTGTAGTTGGCAGTATCCGCAAACCAAGGTGGCACAAAAATAGCCATCACTCTCTCATCAGGGAAAGTGTCATTTATTTCTTTTTCTGGACCATCTTGTAATTTCTTCTCCTGAATTCTTGACAAATGATCTGCCACCTTGTTTTCTACACCAGACTTATCTCTAATTTCCAAGTCGAACTCTTGAAACAACAGCATCCACCTTAGCAGACGAGGCTTGGCATCCTGGTTAGTCATCAAATACTTGATAGCAGAATGGTCAGTAAAAACAATTACCTTGGAACCCAACAAATAAGACCTAAATTTGTCCAGTGCATACACTACTGCTAGCATTTCTTTTTCAGTCGTGGCAAAAATTACTTGTGCCTCATTTAAAATCTTGCTAGCATAGTATATGACATGCAACAATTTATCCTTACGTCGACCAAGGACTGCACCATGGCATAAGCACTAGCATCACACATAAGCTCAAAAGGTAAACTCTAATCAGGAGCTACAAGGATAGGAGTTGTAGTGAGCTTTTCTTTCAGCAAATTAAAAGCTTTCAGACATGCATCATCAAAGTTAAATTCAGAATCCTTTACTAAGAGTTGGCTTAATGGTTTACCTATCTTTGAAAAGTCTTTTATAAATCTTATATAAAATCCAGTATGTCCTAGAAAACTTCTAACACTAGTCACATTAACAGGATGGGGTAGTTTTTCAATCAACATGAGTTTTGCTTCATCAACCTCAATCTCATTACTAGATATTTTATGGCCTAACACAATCTCCTCTTGTACCATGAAATGACATTTCTCCCAATTATGTACAAGATTAGTCTCTTGGCATCTTTTTAAAACACTAGTTAAATTATGCAAACATATATCAAAACAAGAGCCAAAAACGGAAAAGTCATCCATAAATACCTCAAGATTTTTCTCCACCATGTCAGAAAATATAGAGAGCATGCACCTTTGAAACGTAGCAGGTGCGTTGCATAGACCAAATGACATCCGTCTATATGCAAATACTCCAAACGGGCAAGTGAAGACTGTTTTCTCCTGGTCCTCCAGTGCCACTGAGATTTGATTGTACCCAATATATCCATCCAGAAAATAGTAATAAGTATGCCCAACCAACCTTTCCACCATCTGGTCCACAAAAGGAAGTGGAAAATGGGCCTTCTTTGTGGCGGCATTCAACCTCTAGTAATCCATACACATCCTCCAACCAGTAATAGTTCTGGTCAGAATTAGTTCATTTTTTTCATTGTGGACCACGGTGATGCCTCCCTTCTTCGAAACTGTTTGCACTGGACTTACCCAAGCAGTATCTGAAATCGGGTAGATCCTGTCAGCATCAAGAAGTTTCACCACCTCCTTTCTCACCACCTCCTTCATTGTAGGATTAAGCCTCCTTTGAGGTTGCCTCACAGGTTTGACATCATCCTCCATGAGAATTTTGTGATGTACAAAAAGAGGGATTTATACCCTTCAAATCAGAAATGGACCACCCTATGGCAGTCTTATGTTCCTTCATCACTTCGATCAACCTCATTTCCTGCTCAGAAGACAACCCTTTATTAATGATAACAGGGTAATTCTCCTCATCACCCAAGAAGATGTATTTAAGAGTTTCAGGTAGCTCCTTTAACTCTACTTTTGGGGCACCATCTTCTTTGTCAGAATCCTTCTTCTCAAGAACTTCAAACACAACACTCGTTTCTTCCTCAAAAGGAACAATATCACGCGCCTCAAGTTCTTCATCATGGTCCTAACTAGAAGATTTCACTTCTTTCACCTCCTTTTCTAAAACATCAAGTCTGAAACAATCACCTTTGTCAGAAGCTTGTCTCATAGAATCAAAGACATTGATGGTGATGGTCTCATCATTCATCCTTAACTCGAGCTTCCCTTGTTCAACATCAATCATAGCCCGAGCAGTAGCTGTAACAGCCCGTAGTACACTAGTATTGTTAACAATAATTATGATATTAAGCGCAGTTACAATCACAACAATTCATTTACAAAAATGCGCGTAAACGTTTCCCGTTTATTACGTGAGCATTTAAAATAATAATAAAGCGTAATAAATAAAAGCTGTGACCATAACTATAAGCTCTTTGTGGAATAATATTATAAACTACTTAAATATCATATAACACTTCTCTCACATCACTAAGGGGTTCCCATAAACCCACTTAGCTTAAATCTCACTTTTACGTTTTCTACCTATCCGAACATGGTTCGCTCTTTCAATTACAGCGGAGAATCCGCATTCTAAGAACCGATCATCTTTTGATATGTTAATCAAACTTAAATACCTTTCTAACTAGAGATCACACAAGTCATAAAGTTCTCGTTTGCTCCGAATATCACAGTTTGAAGTTGGACATGCAAATTTTCCAGCTAACCTCAAACCGGCTCCAAACAACCTTTATTCTATCACAGATTCCGGAAAATAGACTCAACCAGTTGCTCTCAAATATTTATACAGTAAACTAGACACCTCAAGCTTCAATTTGACATATCATACACTTAATTTGACCAAGAAAAGAAGCGGGAATAAAATTCCTAAAAACTGCCAGAAACAGCCCCTGCACAGGTGCATTCTGGACATTCCGAATTAAATGGCTTCTACAAGGCTACATGCAACCCAGAAAATTCCTAAAAATTACCATAAGGTAGAGGACATCTCAAGCTTCAAAATAGCATATGGAAAGTCCATATCGGACTTCTGTTGAGGGAGATATGCTCTCCCAAAGTTCGCCTAAATTCTGCCAATTTCTAGAAATTTCGCCAGAGTTTCCTTTGTTTTTCCAATAAATCCCATATTTGAAAATGTGTTCTCTAACCTCAATTTGTACCTAATAATCATGGGTGGCACACAAGGACCAACAATGACTTGGTGCTCTTAGAACCCTTCACAGTTTATACTCAATTTGCTCAAAATACATAATCAATGCTTACATTTTCAAGTTAACTAATTTCAATCACAAAGGTCCAATTACATGCATTCTTTGAATCATAAATCATCATTCACATCCTAGAATAGGCCCATTGCCCTTTCATCATATTATGTACTTCAATGTTACATCAATTCTCCATATTACAATTTACAACTTCTCAAATAAACATATTACAATTTACATTGCCATAATCTTTCAAATGAAACATAATAAGCAACAACTAAACTTAGCCAAAAGAGACATGAACAAAATGATAATATGAAAGGTCCTATCTCAACATAGTGTTCATGTCCTAAGTCTAACCTAGGCCCAATGGCCACCAAAAAGCAAAATAAGCAAAAGTCCTCATGCTCAACCTCAGGCTTCTTGCTCGTCGCCCCGACACCACTTCTACCTCCTGAAATAAAGTCCCCAAAGCGGGGTAAGATATACGAATATATCTCAGTAACCCAGAGGTTCTGGAGAATACTCCGCCCCATGGCTCACTCCGATGCATATAAACAATATAACAGAACATTCGAAAACGAGATAAAGGAAAGGATTTATGAAGTAGGGAAGCATAGGGCAACAAAATACGACGAAACTGGAATGGTCACGCAACGTCCAGTGTAACACCCCGTATATATCCGGTTTGTTATCATATCATCGTATTAAGCCACGCTTAATATAAAATGCGAAATATCTTTTTCTGTTCAATTACGACGTCATTAACATTAACCAAGTTGAATAACATAATTCATTTCATAAAACATCGCCTGTATGTAAATTGCAAAAGAGAGCTAACTGAAATACCTCAACATATAAATAACATAAATGTGTCTCTAGTCACGGAACTACAACACGTAGACCGGACAACCCTGATAGTTTATACAACTCAAGCTAAAAGGTACTAACATCAAAGCGGCATGGACAAACCCCATGCTCACCAAATAAGGCAACAAGCCCAACATAGTCTCAATTCAAATATCATAATAATGACAAAAAACATAAACAACATCAAATATCCAGTCATGTCAGCATACAACATATATAATCAACTAAGTTCCGGCCTCTGCCGCCAGAGGCATCAGCCCCCAAGTTACCTGAACCTGAAATAAGCGTCCCCAAACGTGGGGTGAGATCTCTAAACAAGAAATCTCAGTAAGACAAGGGGTCCTCAAGGATCTTCCACCCCAAGCTCACATACATGTGCAATATAAGTTCTAAAGCATTTTACACAATATATATAAGTTCCAAAGTCAGTGTAATGCACAGATAACCATGTCATGTGTGTCAATATAATCTACTGGCCAGAGAAATGCAGGATATACCTCTATCTCCTACAAATAGTGCAAGACGCTACTTGCGTCCACCCCAGTCTCACCATCTTGTATGACACTACATACTCAGGCTTACGGTCAAAGTGGAACAACACATGCATATTATAAGGCCCTTACACATAATAGTTCAAAAGCATTCCAATCATCAAAGCATGAAAACACATCATGCATATAAACCATTCCCCCATGGGGTATGGTGGAACCAACAATGGCTAAACCGAGGACACAAAATCTTACCTCTCAAGCTATCCATCCAAACCAAGAGTCCACACTGGCCCAAGGTCACCAAACAGCATAATCACAATCTGTTTATATCAGAAATATCATCAATAACCATACTTGATTACTTAGTCATTTTCAAAACTGCAATTTCATCTCTTTATGAAATATTCTAAGATTTTACTATGTTAAACTAGACATCTTGAGGTTTCCAACGATATATTTTATGTCCAAATCGGAGTTGTATAGCTTCGGTTACATTTTTCGCAAAGTGGCTGTTGCAAACTGAATTTCCAGCAATCAAGTCGCGACTTCAAACCAACACTACAACTAAAAAAATTATGCAATGGATATGAAATTTTACAAGGTTGTATCCCTATGTGTTATCTTTACATAGGTCCCGATTTTAAACCTCACTCAATTTGGAGCTCTGTAGCTCAAGAAATCCCGATTTTACTAAACTAGGTTGTTGTTGTCACAGGTAGGAATCGATTCCCAAACATGGGGAATCCATTCCTACACTTGGAAATCGATTCCCAACAGAAGGGAACTGATTGCCACGCGTGCAGAACAAAATTCTGCAGCTAAATTCTGCATAATCCGAGGTGGGAAAGGTTCCTAATGATCCAAGGTCCGGTTTTTCTCAAAAACAGAAGTTCAAAAACACTAAACATGCATAGATTAACAACTCTTGACTTAGTTAATCAAAGTTCCCTCTTTTAGTGACTAAAACAAGCTAAAATCATGGATTTAAAGAGGAATGATCAAGGTATACCTATGGAGGCTCAAACACAGCAGAACAAGGTGCTCTTGGAGCTCTTAAATCTGTCCCAAGAAGTCAGATTACACAAGCCACGAAATGGTGACCAAAGCTTGGTCCTTTCTCAACCAAAATGGCACCTTGAAGCTTCAAATGGCATGGAGATGTCTACCACACCTCACAGCCCCAAAGTCAGAAACTTTCTCCCTCACCACAACTCCCACAACTCAGAAATGGCTGGACATTTACCCACCCAAGGCTAGAGCACACTCATACAAGAACCTTTGGAGAAGAATTGAAGTGGAAAGGTGCTCTCTTGGAGCTTCTATGGAGGAGAGAAGGTGGGAGAAGGTGGCTGCCTCCCTAGGTTCAGAAAATGCTACGTAGAAGATGAAGGCCTGACCTAGGATCATGTGCCCTGGGTATTTATAGGCACGCTTAAGTTAATCGCGTAGTATTAGCGTTAATAGCTACGCTTATCATTTTAATCTCAAACTTGGGATTCTGAACCTAGCCATTTTTATGAGATTTTTCATATTTTTATTTTATTTTTCGCAGCACTTTTCCGGTACGCGCTTTTCCATAGCCAGTATCAGTTCTGGCACCAGTTCTCATTAGCTTAACTTGAAACTTGTTTTACAAGTCCTACATATTATTCTAGGAATATTCAAGCACTTATTATAATTTTCTGGGATACTTCATCGGTACGTATTTATACCGAGTAGCAGAATCGGTATCTGCACTTTTCGTCCGAAAAGCGACTTTCAGCATTCATAATCACTTTTTATATTTATTTAAGCCTTCTCATAATTATTAAGGTCTATTATGAAATTATTTCCTTATTTCACATATTTAATTAATTACTTTCTTAATTAACGGTGCGGGTTCTTACATTCACCCCACCTTTTTAGGATTTTGTCCTCAAAATCAGAAAACATACCTGTCTCGAAGCGCAGGATACTGCCGGAGAAGCTCGTCCTCTCGCTCCCAGAATTACCCTTCAGGAATTCTTCCCGTTCATCGTACTCTGACTATCGAAATGATCTCGCTCCTTAGTTGCTTCTCGCCACGATCGAGAATCTTGAGTGGTCCGACGGGAGTCTTTAGGTTCTCCCGAACCTCCACAACATCAGGTTGCATCCCGTACGAAGGATCCGCTACAAACTTGCGAAGTTGAGACACGTAAAACACGTCGTGGGTGTTGGTCAAGTTCGGAGACAAGGCAAACCGGTAGGCAACAGGTCTTACTCTACCACGTAACTGGTATGGCCCAATGAATCGCGGGCTCAGTTTCATCACTCTGAGTGCCCGAACAACACCGGTGACAGTGAAAGTCTCACAAACATGTGCTCACCCTTACTGAACTCTAGTGGACGATGCTTAACATCAATGTAGTTCTCCTGGCGACTCTGCGCCTGCTTCAGATTTCCTCTGATCATCTGAATCGGCTGGTGGTAAATTGGACAAGGTCAAAGAGAAACAACTCTTTATCCTCCAACCTCATACCAACAGGTAGGAGTTCTACACCTCCTACCAAACAGCGCCTCGTAGGGTTCCCTGCCCAGGCTAGCAAGGAAAACACAGTTGCACAAAAACTCAATCGATGCCAGGTACCTATCCCATGCTGGGCCCTGCTCCAAGGTGTAAAGCCCTCGACATGTCCTCCAAGGTTTGGATGATCCGCTCAGTCTGTCCAACAGTCTGAGGGTGATAGGTTGTCCTCAGTAGTAACTGAGTTCCAAAAGCTCTCTGCAGCGCCTCCCCGAACCGAGAGGTGAACTTCGGGTCCCTATCACTGATGATACTAAATAGAGTCGATACCAGCCTGAGTCTTACGCCAAGCCACCACGAAGTTCATGGAAATACCTTCCCACTTCCACTGCAGTACCTCAAGAGGTTGAAGCTTACCAAACGGCTTATGGTGTTCAATCTTCACCTTTAAGCATAAGCAACAAAGTTCTTCCTTCTTCCAAGACACACTGTCCTGGTTGTTCACACGATCCCGACACCCTCTTAGCACTTGCGCCTATTGGGTCTTCTCCAAAAACTCATTCTCGACTCTCACAATCTCCGCCTCGAGAAGTGCACCCCCAAACATAGAGGTCACCGTCAAAACTCGAAGTTTCACAATAACATCAAAACGTCATCCGATTCTCTGGGATCATCAGTCACTTTCTCAATAGAGGTGAACCCACCCCACTAACTCTAAACCACACAAATCTTGAGTGAGTTTGGTCCCATTCCATGACTCTAACCTCGACAAGACTTACAAATTATAATCAATATCCTCAAAATAAATTCATATTCATATCACAGTACGAAATCATGATCATGTTCATTTCAACCAATACATGTTAGTTAACATACTACTTCATATAGTGACATACCTTAGTTCACGTACATCTGCAAAATTTTCAATTTCAATAGCATAATAACCCAAAAACTCTAAGTAACAGTATACCTCAATCTCTAAGGTATCTGCAAAATCGAGAGTCAGTCAAAGGTGAAATAACATTGATATATTACAATAGTTCATCGTACTTATTTATGCTTAACATTATCCATGGTGTTAACATGCCAACTACTTATGACGCATATCAATAATCAACATAAGGTCCTAGAGTCATGGAGACCACTCAACTCACAAACGAATTGTACATGCACTGCCTCGCATATGCCAGATCACGCGTGGCCTTGCCACAAATTTCAAGTGTTACACACTCAGTTTCCCTGAAGAGAATTTCACATCCTCAAACAGAGCACCATCACGCTTAAGTAATGGCGTAAGGCATCTTGCCTCAATAACAACATGACCGGTGCTTCCCATGGAGACACACTCGGTCGGATGAAGTCTTTCGCCAAAAGACCCTCAGAACACTACTTCAACTCAGCCAACTCTGGTGGCGACATCCGGTATGGAGCTAATAACAAGGCCCCACACCAGGCAATAATTCAATGGAGAACGCTATCTCCCACTGTGGCGGACACTCAGGAATCTCCTCAGGAAGCACCTCGAGGAATTCCTTCACCACAGGAATGCCAGTGAGATCCTCCTGTGTCCCACTCACCAAACCTCCCAACATGACATAACCAATGTCCCTGCTCACAAGGCTCTCATAACCCGTAGCAATAAAAGGCGAGGAACTGGCTGTGGAATCACACGGAGACATCACCACTCGCTAGGCACAACAATCAATCAATCAATCAATCATCGCACAACTATTGGACAATCCATCCACGCCAAGGATGATTTCAAAAATTAGCCGTTGGTAATCCCATCAGATCCACTGAAAAGTCACGGCCATCCCACTGAAACACGACATCTCGATGTACAGTGGAGGTATCACACTTTTCTCCGGTGGCGGTAGTCACCCGCAACAATGGAGAAAGCACAGCAACGGGCAACTCAAGCCCCAAAGAAATCGGAGATGCAATGAATGAATGCGTAGCCCCGGAGTCAAACAAAACATCAACAGATGATGCACCAATGGTAACAGTACCTCTGACAAGGTTCAGAGCTCTGTCCGACTGCTGCCGATCCAACATGTAAACTTTCCCCGTGGCAAATGGCACAGCAGGTGCCGCTGTAGGTGGAAGGAGAACCATCTGCAATGGAGCTGCACGAACTACAGCAGCTCTCGCCATCGATGACGGACAATCTCTAGCATAGTGGCCTTCCTTGCCACAGTGAAAACAGATCAGCTGATCGGTAGCACAACGTCCTGCATGCACCTTTCTGCATCTCGAACATCTAGGAGTGGAAAGAGGTCTAGCAAAACCTCCCTGCTGCGAAGAAGTCCTCTTAAACTAGCCAGGCGCATGCCTAGCCGCAAACTGCTTCCATTTGACCTCTCCAGCAAACTTCCTGTATTTCTAGGAAGTGGAACTACCAGTTTCCTTCACATCAGCAATCTTGGCCCTCTTGGCCTTACTCGTAATGCAGACATCCTCAATGTCCTTACATTGTTGTACCAGTGTACCAAAATCCCTCGATGCTGCTCCAGCAATACGCTCTGCAATCTCCTCACTAAGTCCCCTGCGGAATTTAGCAGCCAAAAAGGTCAGAGTAGGCATAGCCATCCGAAAGTGTGCAAACTTCACCAACTCATTAAACTTTGCCAGGTACTCGTCAACAGACAACGAGCCCTGCACCATCCTGTCGAACTCCCCCTGCTTCCTCTCCTGCTCATCATAAGGGAAGTATCGACCCAGAAAGAAATCCTCGAAGAATGGCCATGTTATAACATGACCCTGCATCTCAAAAGCGTGAGAGGTGTTCATCCACCACTCATAGGCATCTTCCTCCAGCATATACGTGGCGAACATCAGCTTCTGCGGGTAAGTACACTGCATAACCCGAAAGATCTTATCCAGCGCCTGAAGCCATCTCGCAGCGGCAATAGGATCATAAGATCCATCGAAAGAAGGTGGCTTATGCTTGCGAAAAGCATTCAGCCGGCGATCAATCACATCACAATCCTCAGTAGGCTCTGTTGGGTGGTTTGCTGATGGTGGAAAAATATAAGTTCTGATAGGGGACGTTCCTCAGTTCTTGCAGAACACAGATTCGTCCCTTAGTTCCAACCCAAGTGCGCAAGTGCACGCATCAGGTAATAAAGGGAGTATTAATGCCCAAATTATCGTTCCCACGAGGATATAGTGCTAATTATTGTTTTATCACTGTTTATAAAGAATGAAAATGAGAATAAAAGTTAGTAAATGAACTGTCTAGTCAAACGTTCCCTACTGTCTTGACAACGTTCCTCAGGAATAGTAAGTTCAATCTCATGGCAAAAAATTGCTCGCTGCGTTATGTATGTGATCCTTCCTGTTTAGAAGAAGGTGAGAAAATAATCATTGGAGTTTTTATAAGTACTAAATAAAATAAAATAACAACTACTAAAACAGAAATAACTATAATCAAGAGACAACAGGGAGGTGGTTAAAACAGTTTAACAGAAGGAACGGATTCACTGCTCCACTCTAAAAGGGGCTGTTTTCTCTGCTCAAGACTTAGCACCTTTTGACTTTGTCCCAGTTTCTTTGCCTGCCAACTCTGATTCCTCAGCTCATGGTCTAGATGGCTCACAAGTTTCTATATTCATATGGCTCCCTTGACTCCAACAGGTACTTAGTTCATAACCTTAAAATGGACGAGTTGGCCCCTTATTCCTAAGGTGGCCAGTAGCGTTTTTGCCATGACATCTACCTTCCCCCAATGGCTAAGCTGTCTGAAATCCCTCCCTTATGGAAGTTCCTTTCTCAATATGTACCCAATTTCTATTGGCGCACAATGAATATAGCTTACTTAGCCAAAGAAATACAAAAAGCTTCGGTCAAGAGTTTTGAAAACAGTTCTTTAAGAGTTTCACAGTTTACCCATTCCACAGATAGTTCAGCTCATGGCTGATAGTGTAAACATAATTATTCTCAACTGAGATCACATAGACACGAGATTCAGTCAAGAGATAACGATTGGAACGAAGAGAAAAACACTTATATTAATTTGAAAGACAGTTTACAAAAAGAAACAGAAAATGGAGAAAGATGGGTATTTGCTCGTGAGGAGTCTTGATGGTTGTTTACAGAGAAGAGAAGAGGGGTTGTCACTTAACAACAGTTACAACTTAAAATTAAACTAAGTTACTAACTACTACTAAGTGATCTCTTCCTTTCGGACTGCAAACCCTCCAGGATTCCATGATGTTTTTGTGTGAGGGTGGTCCTATTTATAGCTGGAAGAGGAGTGGCAAGACTGTAATTACTTTGGAGCTAGTTGTTTGAATGAGGGGACGGGACTGTGGAAGCAGAGTATGAAGCTTGCATGAATTGCTAGATGGAATAGGATTTAGTGATGATTAGCCATTGTTTGCCGACCTTCCCATGCTTTGCTTTCGTTTTCAGCCAATGAGAACTCTTGATTCTCTGCTCTTCACGTTTCCAGCTGCTCAGTTGGTGCACCGCCTTGCTTTTTAGAAGTCTTTAACTCTAAGTTACCTGCAAAGTGCATAGAAGCATTAAATGAATGGAGCAGGTGCATTAAATGTGTCTCAGTTCGTTCCCCTTCTAATATATTTTAAAGGAATATGTTACCATCTGTTCCCCCACTGTGTTTTTGTCATAAATGTGTAAAACAAGTAATTTTCATGCTGAAGTTGCTCATCAGATGAGGGAACGTATGGTATTTTGCCATCAAAATGGGCTTAGATAGGAACAAATTTACGTCCCATCAAACACCCCAAAACTAAACTGTTGGTTGTCCTCAAACAACTTAGAAATATTGTTTTTGTCTGCCCAATTTAAAAGAATAACATAACAGAAAGGAACTTAAGCCAATGAGCAACCATGAACTTTTCAGAAAATGAACTACTCTCCATAGTAAACAGTAAAAGGATTCTGTCCCCAGATAAGAGAAGGTTGCTGATCTTTTGTCTCACTGTCACTCATAGGTTGGTGTTTGCTCTTCCCATGCTTTGCTTTCGTTTTCAGCCAATGAGAACTCTTGATTCTCTGCTCTTCACGTTTCCAGCTGCTCAGTTGGTGCACCGCCTTGCTTTTTAGAAGTCTTTAACTCTAAGTTACCTGCAAAGTGCATAGAAGCATTAAATGAATGGAGCAGGTGCATTAAATGTGTCTCAGTCCGTTCCCCTTCTAATATATTTTAAAGGAATATGTTACCATCTGTTCCCCCACTGTGTTTTTGTCATAAATGTGTAAAACAAGTAATTTTCATGCTGAAGTTGCTCATCAGATGAGGGAACGTATGGTATTTTGCCATCAAAATGGGCTTAGATAGGAACAAATTTACGTCCCATCAAACACCCCAAAACTAAACTGTTGGTTGTCCTCAAACAACTCAGAAATATTGTTTTTGTCTGCCCAATTTAAAAGAATAGCATAACAGAAAGGAACTTAAGCCAATGAGCAACCATGAACTTTTCAGAAAATGAACTACTCTCCATAGTAAACAGTAAAAGGATTCTGTCCCCAGATAAGAGAAGGTTGCTGATCTTTTGTCTCACTGTCACTCATAGGTTGGTGTTTGCTCTGTCCATTCCTGGATGTGATTCTTCGAAACTTTCCTTTCTACTGCGTTCCTATGAAGTACAGCTGTCTTTCGTTCCAAGGATTCTTTGATGGGTAAGTGTATGGAAATGTGGAAGAAGTGGTGGTCTGATTTGTGGGATCAAGGAATGTTTACCTTTTGTGCCTTTGAACTTGGACTTTTTTTGTTTTGATCCTTGACAACAGAATTCATCTGTCTTCAGCAGTACTTACAGCATTAAGGAAAGCTGAGAAGTTTCATTGTGGTTACACCTCAGGAACGCTATCAGAAATAGGTGTTTGGCATTTTTTCGTTCCTTACCAGTTTGAGTTCACACGGATCAGCTTCTTTAAAAAATCTGAGGATTAAATTCCCTGCATTGTTTCTATTTTAAGTACTCAGAGAAAGAACAAGCATGATTAGTCAGTGACTTTGTGTTTCATGTAAGTTAGTTAATCCAAAAGAATTGGGCAGTCTTAATACTATAACTGAAATGCATGCCATATACCAAACAGTTTGATCAAAAAAGGTCTTTTCTCATTGCAAAAAAAGAAGATTAATTACAAGGGAACAGAAAGGAAAAGAAATTAAAACAGAACTAAAAATAAACTAAGCTAAGATAGATAGGAGGGTTTTCTCCTTTTCATTGGGGAGGTCTTATGTCCCAAGGGTTCCTTTTTGTAGCTTCAGCTTCTTTGGCTTCATCAACTTCCTCCTGGGTTAATGGTCTTCTCCTGAGCAGGTCTTGCAATCTGCGGACTTCATTTACAGGGAGCCATTTTTCTGCATCCTTCAGTAGATCGCTGATGATTGCAACCAGGGAGTTGATGGTGGACCTCATCATGGTTCTGCCAGTGCGAAAATGGATGACTTTTTTTTCAACATCCAGCAGTTGCATTTCCAACTCATAAATTCTCCTCTCCAGGTACGTTCCAAAGGCCCTGATGGCTTCTTTGGTTTCCTTACATTTCCGAACCGATGTGGGACATTTTGGAGAGGGGAACGAAGCATGCCTTATAAGGGTGTGGATACCTCTTCTAGTGTGAGGCCTTTTGTGGGGTGTCCCAAGAAACAAAACCGTGAGCTCGACGGTGCTTGTGCGCGGGGCAAAGTGGACAATATCATGCTACAGGGTTTGGGGCTGTTACATTTGGTATCAGAGCAGTTTTGATTCAAGGTGTCTGTTTATGATTGATGTATTGGTTGCTAATTATATATTTGTTTGTTTAATCATTGGTGTTTGAATAGGATTGTCAAATTGTTTGCTGTTTTTCCATGATTGTTGAATTGTTTGCTGTTTGAACATAGCTATGGAACTGTGCTAGCTGCTGTATGTTAGAATCAATTTCCTGAATTGCTTGAATTATGATTACCCGTGTGGATATGTTCATTGGTTGCCGAATATTAGAATTAAACTATTGGATTGTCGGAGTCATGACTGACACGTGTTGAATTATTCTTTTAAATTATGAAAGTTAGAATGATTAAGACGTTAGAGTTATTATGAGCTATATTGAAATCACCTTATGGGATTGTTTATCTACAACAGTATGAAATTAACTTCTTGGAACAGTTTTGAGTTTTGAGAATAGTATGATGT